CTCAGTCTCAGTCTCAGTCTCTGCCTCAGTCTCAGTCTCAGTCTCTGCCTCAGTCTCAGTCTCAGTCTCAGTCTCTGCCTCAGTCTCAGTCTCAGTCTCAGTCTCAGTCTCAGTCTCTGCCTCAGTCTCAGTCTCAGTCTCAGTCTCAGTCTCTGCCTCAGTCTCAGTCTCAGTCTCAGTCTCTGCCTCAGTCTCAGTCTCAGTCTCAGTCTCTGCCTCAGTCTCAGTCTCAGTCTCAGTCTCTGCCTCAGTCTCAGTCTCAGTCTCAGTCTCTGCCTCAGTCTCAGTCTCAGTCTCAGTCTCTGCCTCAGTCTCAGTCTCAGTCTCAGTCTCAGTCTCAGCCTCAGTCTCAGTCTCAGTCTCAGTCTCAGTCTCAGTCTCAGTCTCAGTCTCTGCCTCAGTCTCAGTCTCAGTCTCAGTCTCTGCCTCAGTCTCAGTCTCAGTCTCAGTCTCAGTCTCAGTCTCTGGCTCAGTCTCAGTCTCAGTCTCAGCCTCAGTCTCAGTCTCAGTCTCAGTCTCAGTCTCTGCCTCAGTCTCAGTCTCAGTCTCAGTCTCAGTCTCTGCCTCAGTCTCAGTCTCAGTCTCTGCCTCAGTCTCAGTCTCAGTCTCAGTCTCAGTCTCAGTCTCAGTCTCTGCCTCAGTCTCAGTCTCAGTCTCAGTCTCAGTCTCTGCCTCAGTCTCAGTCATCTCAGTCTCTGCCTCAGTCTCTGCCTCAGTCTCAGTCTCAGTCTCAGTCTCAGTCTCAGTCTCAGTCTCTGCCTCAGTCTCAGTCTCAGTCTCTGCCTCAGTCTCAGTCTCAGTCTCTGCCTCAGTCTCTGCCTCAGTCTCAGTCTCAGTCTCAGTCTCAGTCTCAGTCTCAGTCTCTGCCTCAGTCTCTGCCTCAGTCTCAGTCTCAGTCTCTGCCTCAGTCTCAGTCTCAGTCTCAGTCTCAGTCTCTGCCTCAGTCTCAGTCTCAGTCTCTGCCTCAGTCTCAGTCTCAGTCTCAGTCTCTGCCTCAGTCTCAGTCTCAGTCTCAGTCTCAGTCTCAGTCTCAGTCTCAGTCTCTGCCTCAGTCTCAGTCTCAGTCTCAGTCTCTGCCTCAGTCTCAGTCTCAGTCTCAGTCTCAGTCTCAGTCTCAGTCTCAGTCTCAGTCTCTGCCTCAGTCTCAGTCTCAGTCTCAGTCTCTGCCTCAGTCTCAGTCTCAGTCTCTGCCTCAGTCTCAGTCTCAGTCTCTGCCTCAGTCTCTGCCTCAGTCTCAGTCTCAGTCTCAGTCTCAGTCTCAGTCTCAGTCTCTGCCTCAGTCTCTGCCTCAGTCTCAGTCTCAGTCTCTGCCTCAGTCTCAGTCTCAGTCTCAGTCTCAGTCTCTGCCTCAGTCTCAGTCTCAGTCTCTGCCTCAGTCTCAGTCTCAGTCTCAGTCTCTGCCTCAGTCTCAGTCTCAGTCAGTCTCAGTCTCAGTCTCAGTCTCAGTCTCTGCCTCAGTCTCAGTCTCAGTCTCAGTCTCAGTCTCAGTCTCTGCCTCAGTCTCAGTCTCAGTCTCAGTCTCAGTCTCAGTCTCTGCCTCAGTCTCAGTCTCAGTCTCAGTCTCAGTCTCAGTCTCTGCCTCAGTCTCAGTCTCAGTCTCAGTCTCTGCCTCAGTCTCAGTCTCAGTCTCAGTCTCAGTCTCTGCCTCAGTCTCAGTCTCAGTCTCTGCCTCAGTCTCAGTCTCAGTCTCTGCCTCAGTCTCAGTCTCAGTCTCAGTCTCTGCCTCAGTCTCAGTCTCAGTCTCAGTCTCAGTCTCAGTCTCTGCCTCAGTCTCAGTCTCAGTCTCAGTCTCAGTCTCTGCCTCAGTCTCAGTCTCAGTCTCAGTCTCTGCCTCAGTCTCAGTCTCAGTCTCAGTCTCTGCCTCAGTCTCAGTCTCAGTCTCAGTCTCTGCCTCAGTCTCAGTCTCAGTCTCAGTCTCAGTCTCAGCCTCAGTCTCAGTCTCAGTCTCAGTCTCAGTCTCAGTCTCAGTCTCAGTCTCTGCCTCAGTCTCAGTCTCAGTCTCAGTCTCTGCCTCAGTCTCAGTCTCAGTCTCAGTCTCAGTCTCAGTCTCTGGCTCAGTCTCAGTCTCAGTCTCAGCCTCAGTCTCAGTCTCAGTCTCAGTCTCAGTCTCTGCCTCAGTCTCAGTCTCAGTCTCAGTCTCAGTCTCTGCCTCAGTCTCAGTCTCAGTCTCTGCCTCAGTCTCAGTCTCAGTCTCAGTCTCAGTCTCAGTCTCAGTCTCTGCCTCAGTCTCAGTCTCAGTCTCAGTCTCAGTCTCTGCCTCAGTCTCAGTCTCAGTCTCTGCCTCAGTCTCTGCCTCAGTCTCAGTCTCAGTCTCAGTCTCAGTCTCAGTCTCAGTCTCTGCCTCAGTCTCAGTCTCAGTCTCTGCCTCAGTCTCAGTCTCAGTCTCTGCCTCAGTCTCTGCCTCAGTCTCAGTCTCAGTCTCAGTCTCAGTCTCAGTCTCAGTCTCTGCCTCAGTCTCTGCCTCAGTCTCAGTCTCAGTCTCTGCCTCAGTCTCAGTCTCAGTCTCAGTCTCAGTCTCTGCCTCAGTCTCAGTCTCAGTCTCTGCCTCAGTCTCAGTCTCAGTCTCAGTCTCTGCCTCAGTCTCAGTCTCAGTCTCAGTCTCAGTCTCAGTCTCAGTCTCAGTCTCAGTCTCAGTCTCAGTCTCAGTCTCTGCCTCAGTCTCAGTCTCAGTCTCAGTCTCAGTCTCAGTCTCAGTCTCAGTCTCAGTCTCAGTCTCAGTCTCAGTCTCAGTCTCAGTCTCAGTCTCAGTCTCAGTCTCAGCTCAGTCTCTCTGGTCTCTCTCTGGTCTCTCTCTGGTCTCTCTCTGGTCTCTCTCTGGTCTCTCTCTGGTCTCTCTCTGGTCTCTCTCTGGTCTCTCTCTGGTCTCTCTCTGGTCTCTCTCTCTGGTCTCTCTCTGGTCTCTCTCTGGTCTCTCTCTCTGGTCTCTCTCTGGTCTCTCTCTGGTCTCTCTGCTCTCTGGTCTCTCTCTCTGGTCTCTCTCTGGTCTCTCTCTGGTCTCTCTCTGGTCTCTCTCTGGTCTCTCTCTCTGGTCTCTCTCTCTGGTCTCTCTCTCTGGTCTCTCTCTGGTCTCTCTCGGTCTCTCTCTGGTCTCTTCTCTCTGGTCTCTCTCTCTCTGGTCTCTCTCTGGTCTCTCTCTGGTCTCTCTCTGGTCTCTCTCTGGTCTCTCTCTCTCTCTCTCTGGTCTCTCTCTCTGGTCTCTCTCTGGTCTCTCTCTGGTCTCTCTCTCTGGTCTCTCTCTCTCTGGTCTCTCTCTGGTCTCTCTCTGGTCTCTCTCTCTGGTCTCTCTCTGGTCTCTCTCTGGTCTCTCTCTGGTCTCTCTCTGGTCTCTCTCTGGTCTCTCTCTGGTCTCTCTCTGGTCTCTCTCTGGTCTCTCTCTGGTCTCTCTCTGGTCTCTCTCTGGTCTCTCTCTCTGGTCTCTCTCTCTCTGGTCTCTCTCTCTGGTCTCTCTCTGGTCTCTCTCTGGTCTCTCTCTGGTCTCTCTCTGGTCTCTCTCTCTGGTCTCTCTGGTCTCTCTCTCTGGTCTCTCTCTGGTCTCTCTCTCTGGTCTCTCTCTGGTCTCTCTCTGGTCTCTCTCTCTGGTCTCTCTCTGGTCTCTCTGGTCTCTCTCTGGTCTCTCTCTGGTCTCTCTCTCTCTCTTGGTCTCTCTCTGGTCTCTCTCTGGTCTCTCTCTGGTCTCTCTCTGGTCTCTCTCTGGTCTCTCTCTGGTCTCTCTCTGGTCTCTCTCTGGTCTCTCTCTCTCTGGTCTCTCTCTGGTCTCTCTCTGGTCTCTCTCTCTGGTCTCTCTCTCTGGTCTCTCTCTGGTCCTCTCTCTCTGGTCTCTCTCTGGTCTCTCTCTGGTCTCTCTCTGGTCTCTCTCTCTGGTCTCTCTCTCTGGTCTCTCTCTGGTCTCTCTCTCTGGTCTCTCTCTCTGGTCTCTCTCTCTGGTCTCTCTCTGGTCTCTCTCTGGTCTCTCTCTCTGGTCTCTCTCTCTGGTCTCTCTCTGGTCTCTCTCTGGTCTCTCTCTGGTCTCTCTCTGGTCTCTCTCTGGTCTCTCTCTGACATTTTTCTAAAGTTCAGATCTGTAAATAAACAGTCCATGAAATCACAAAACCATGTATGTCTTCAGTTTGAGCCCGCAGTCCCACCAGGTGGCGCTCATGGACTATTACTGGTCATTCTTCAAAACGTGTTACATATGTGTAGCCGGTATGACCTAGCATGCACCTAGCTTACCGGCTAATTGCCAAACGTCATCTCCAGTTCTCGCCGCTCGTGGTCGTCCAGTGCATTTGACTTCATGATTATTTCAAAACTTACAATCCAGAAGAAACTGCTTCAATCCATGTCAACAAGTCTTCATGGGTCTCTCTCTGGTCTCTCTGGTCTCTCTCTCTGGTCTCTCTCTCTGGTCCATCTCTGGTCTGTCTCTGGTCTCTCTCTGGTCTGTCTCTGGTCTCTCTCTGGTCTGTCTCTGGTCTCTCTCTGGTCTGTCTCTGGTCTCTCTCTGGTCTCTCTCTGGTCCATCTCTGGTCTCTCTCTGGTCTCTCTCTGGTCTGTCTCTGGTCTCCCTCTGGTCTCCCTCTGGTCTCCCTCTGGTCTCTCTCTGGTCTCTCTCTGGTCTCTCTCTGGTCTCTCTCTGGTCTCCCTCTGGTCTCTCCCTCTGGTCTCTCTCTGGTCTCCCTCTGGTCTCTCCCTCTGGTCTCTCTCTGGTCTCTCCCTCTGGTCTCTCTCTGGTCTCTCTCTGGTCTCCCTCTGGTCTCTTCCTCTGGTCTCCCTCTGGTCTCTCCCTCTGGTCTCTCTCTGGTCTCTCTCTGGTCTCTCTCTGCTCTCCCTCTGGTCTCTCCCTCTGGTCTCTCCCTCTGGTCTCTCCCTCTGGTCTCTCCCTCTGGTCTCTCCCATAGTCCTCCCGGTGCAGAGATGACCTTCATGCGTCCCTCTCTCCTCGGCTCCGTTACAAAAGATTATTGCACATTCTTTATTATTCCCGTTTGCATTAGTCCTCGCCGCCGCCACAGCCGCCATCACGTCTGGGGCGAGCTAGTCTCCGCCTCCTCTGCCGTGTGATTGGCCGGCAGCGGCGGGGGGCTCCAGTCCGGTTGGTAGAAGTGGATGTCAAAGGTCCGGGCCCAGCCGGCGAAGACCCGCTTCTCGGTGATGAAGCGGTGATGACTGCCGCGCCTGCCCCGCTCATGGGACACGAACATGGTGCACTCGTCTGGACCATGGGGCTCGTAGTAATGGTACGGGACCGACTGGTGCTGGGGGTCTCTGTGAGGGTGAGACGGGGCATCAGGGTTAGAGCAAAAACTCTTAACACATCTTCTTTGTTCTTATGGTTTCTCTCTCACTTTCTGGTCTCTCTCACTCCGGTCTCTCTGCCTCTCTCTGGTCGCTTTCTGGTCTGTCTCTCTGGTCTTGCTTTCTTGTCCTTCTGTCTCTGCGCTCTCTTTCTGGTCTCTTTCTCTCAGGTCTATCTGGTTTCAATCTCTCTCTCTCTGGCTTTCTGGTTTTTCTCTGATATCATGGTCTGTCTTTCTCTGGTGTCTCTCCCTGGTCTCTCTGATCTCTCCGGTGTCTCTCTATGGTCTTGCTGGTCTCTCTCTCTGGGGTCTCTCTATGGTCTCGCTGGTCTCTCTCTCTGGGGTCTCTCTATGGTCTCGCTGGTCTCTCTCTCTGGGGTCTCTCTATGGTCTCGCTGGTCTCTCTCTCTGGGGTCTCTCTATGGTCTCGCTGGTCTCTCTCTCTGGGGTCTCTCTATGGTCTCGCTGGTCTCTCTCTCTGGGGTCTCTCTATGGTCTCGCTGGTCTCTCTCTCTGGTGTCTCTCTCTGGGGTCTCTCTATGGTCTCGCTGGTCTCCCTCTCTGGGGTCTCTCTGTGGTCTCGCTGGTCTCTCTCTCTGGGGTCTCTCTATGGTCTCGCTGGTCTCCCTCTCTGGGGTCTCTCTATGGTCTCGCTGGTCTCTCTCTCTGGGGTCTCTCTATGGTCTCGCTGGTCTCTCTCTCTGGGGTCTCTCTGGTCTCGCTGGTCTCTCTCTCTGTGGTCTCGCTGGTCTCTCTCTCTGGGGTCTCTCTATGGTCTCGCTGGTCTCTCTCTCTGGGGTCTCTCTATGGTCTCGCTGGTCTCTCTCTCTGGGGTCTCTCTGGTCTCGCTGGTCTCTCTCTCTGTGGTCTCGCTGGTCTCTCTCTCTGGGGTCTCTCTATGGTCTCGCTGGTCTCTCTCTCTGTGGTCTCGCTGGTCTCTCTCTCTGGGGTCTTTGCTTTGTGCCGTTACAGAGACAGAAATGTGTCAGAGTTTCCACACCGAGGCATTGGTCATTTAATGTAAATGTAATGAGTTTGCTAATTTTTTCAATGACAAGGTTCAAGGCATCAAAAACGCCATTGTCTCCAATCCACAGATAACAATCCAACAGCCAGAAAGGCTCTCTGAGCTAACTCACTTTGCACCTGTAAATGATCAAACTGTCCAAGAGATAATCTCCAGTTTGAGCTCCTCCACATGCAGCCTGGATGTACTACCCACTAGATTTCTGAAGTCTGTTCTGAGCAGTCTGTTACCTTCACTCACACAGATAGTAAACATGTCCCTTCATTCTGGAATATTCCCAAAGGCCCTGAAAACTGCAGTCATCAGGCCCCTGCTAAAAAAGAGCAGTCTGGATGCTACGGTACTTAACAACTATCGTTCCATCTCAAATCTGCCATTTATGGGGAAAGTCCTTGAAAAAGTTGTCTACCAACAGCTAAATAGATTTCTTATAATCAACAACTCATTTGATATGTTTCAGTCCGGCTTTAGACCCCACCACAGCACTGAGACTGCTCTCGTTAAGGTTACAAACGATATCCGGCTGAACACTGACGCAGGCAAAGTCTCAATCTTAATCTTGTTAGATCTGAGTGCTGCCTTTGACACTGTCGACCATGAGATCCTCTTACAGAGACTAGAGGACTGGGTTGGCGTCGCTGGCACCGCCCTAAGTTGGTTTAGGTCTTACCTTGAAGACAGGAAGTACTTTGTGGAGATTGGAAACTGTGTCTCAGATCATATGGCCCTGACCTGTGGAGTACCACAGGGGTCGATCCTGGGACCTCTTCTGTTCAATCTCTACATGCTGCCGTTAGGTCAGTTAATACGCAGAAACAAAGTGTCCTATCATAACTATGCAGACGACACTCAGATCTATGTCTCACTGACTGCAGGAGAACCTGGACCAGTGGACTCACTCCTTCACTGTATCCAACAGATCAGTGAGTGGATGCAAAACAACTTCCTTCAGCTAAACGCAGACAAAACTGAAATGATTGTCTTTGGTCCCCAGAAACAAAGAGAGAGCGTCATCTGTCACCTACAGTCTCTCTCCCTAAAACCTTCAAACAAGGTCAGAAATCTAGGGGTAATACTGGACTCAGACTTACATTTTAATAGCCACATCAAATCAGTAACATCAGCAGCTTTTTACCATCTAAAAAACATTGCCAGGATCAAAAACATAGTGTCTAAAGCAGACTTGGAGATTCTTATCCATGCATTTATCTCCAGTAGGTTAGACTACTGCAATGGCCTGCTCACAGGTCTGTCCAAACAGGCTGTAAAACAGCTGCAGTACATTCAAAATGCAGCAGCTCGAGTCCTGACTAGAACCAGGAAGTACGACCACATTAGTCCTGACTAGAACCAGGAAGTACGACCACATTAGTCCTGACTAGAACCAGGAAGTACGACCACATTAGTCCTGACTAGAACCAGGAAGTACAACCACATTAGTCCAGTCCTCAGGTCTCTGCACTGGCTTCCTGTGGCTCAGAGAATAGACTTTAAAACAAAATATATTAGTGACATGTTAGTACCATATGAACCATCCCGGACTCTGAGGAGCACAGGGACTGGCCTCCTGCTGGGACTCTGAGGAGCACAGGGACTGGCCTCCTGCAGGGACTCTGAGGAGCACAGGGACTGGCCTCCTGCTGGACTCTGAGGAGCACAGGGACTGGACTCCTGCTGGGACTCTGAGGAGCACAGGGACTGGACTCCTGCTGGGACTCTGAGGAGCACAGGGACTGGCCTCCTGCAGGGACTCTGAGGAGCACAGGGACTGGCCTCCTGCTGGGACTCTGAGGAGCACAGGGACTGGCCTCCTGCTGGGACTCTGAGGAGCACAGGGACTGGCCTCCTGCAGGGACTCTGAGGAGCACAGGGACTGGCCTCCTGCAGGGACTCTGAGGAGCTCAGGGACTGGCCTCCTGCTGGGACTCTGAGGAGCACAGGGACTGGCCTCCTGCTGGGACTCTGAGGAGCACACAGGGACTGGCCTCCTGCAGGGACTCTGAGGAGCACAGGGACTGGCCTCCTGCTGGGACTCTGAGGAGCTCAGGGACTGGCCTCCTGCTGGGACTCTGAGGAGCACAGGGACTGGCCTCCTGCTGGGACTCTGAGGAGCACAGGGACTGGCCTCCTGCTGGGACTCTGAGGAGCACAGGGACTGGACTCCTGTTAGTGCCCAGAGTCAGGACTAAACATGGGGAGGCTGCTTTTCAGATTCATGCTGCTAAAATCTGGAACAGTCTTCCTGAAGATGTGAGACAGGCCTCCTCTCTGACAATGTTTAAAACCAGGTTAAAGACAGTTCTGTTTAGCTGTGCTACAACTGAGGGATTTTATATTTTTATCTTTCTTTTTAATGTTCTGTGATTATTTATGATTTTAATGCTTTCTTGTTTTGTTCAGCACTTTGAGTTTCCTTGTGTATGAATTGTGCTATATAAATAAACTTGCCTTGCCTTAATTTTCATCCCTTTTTTAAAATCAATCTCTGGGTCAGGTCGGGTCGGGTCGGGTCGGGTCGGGTCGGGTCGGGTCGGGTCAGGGGGGTGGGGCTCATGGCACCAGTCCCTCGCTGATCCTCCTGTAGGTGGTGAGTTCACAGGATGATACGGCCTTGGTGTTTCAGTGGGGGGTTCAGGCAAAGTGGGGTGAAGTGTCTTGCCCAGGGACACAACGACAGCAGACATCAGGGGGAGGAGAGGACATGGGATCGAGGTCCAACCGAGCCCTTTATCTTTTCTTATTACTACTGTAACTTTTAGATGTATCTACTGTACGCTTGATGGAGCCAGCGGGTCAGTCCTGTCCAGTCTGTGGCTGGTGCAGAGGAGGTGATGTCAGTGAAACAGTCCTGTCCCGTCTGTGGCTGGTGCAGAGGAGGTGATGTCAGTGAAACAGTCCTGTCCCGTCTGTGGCAGGTGCAGAGGAGGTGATGTCAGTGAAACAGTCCTGTCCCGTCTGTGGCTGGTGCAGAGGAGGTGATGTCAGTGAAACAGTCCTGTCCAGTCTGTGGCAGGTGCAGAGGAGGTGATGTCAGTGAAACAGTCCTGTCCAGTCTGTGGCTGGTGCAGAGGAGGAGATGTCAGTGAAACAGTCCTGTCCAGTCTGTGGCTGGTGCAGAGGAGGTGATGTCAGTGAAACAGTCCTGTCCAGTCTGTGGTAGGTGCAGAGGAGGTGATGTCAGTGAAACAGTCCTGTCCAGTCTGTGGTAGGTGCAGAGGAGGTGATGTCAGTGAAACAGTCCTGTCCCGTCTGTGGCTGGTGCCGAGGAGGAGATGTCAGTGAAACAGTCCTGTCCAGTCTGTGGCTGGTGCAGAGGAGGTGATGTCAGTGAAACAGTCCTGTCCAGTCTGTGGCTGGTGCAGAGGAGGTGATGTCAGTGAAACAGTCCTGTCCAGTCTGTGGCAGGTGCAGAGGAGGTGATGTCAGTGAAACAGTCCTGTCCAGTCTGTGGTAGGTGCAGAGGAGGTGATGTCAGTGAAACAGTCCTGTCCAGTCTGTGGTAGGTGCAGAGGAGGTGATGTCAGTGAAACAGTCCTGTCCCGTCTGTGGCTGGTGCAGAGGAGGTGATGTCAGTGAAACAGTCCTGTCCAGTCTGTGGTAGGTGGAGAGGAGGTGATGTCAGTGAAACAGTCCTGTCCAGTCTGTGGCAGGTGCAGAGGAGGTGATGTCAGTGAAACAGTCCTGTCCCGTCTGTGGCAGGTGCAGAGGAGGTGATGTCAGTGAAACAGTCCTGTCCAGTCTGTGGCTGGTGCAGAGGAGGTGATGTCAGTGAAACAGTCCTGTCCAGTCTGTGGCTGGTGCAGAGGAGGTGATGTCAGCGAAACAGTCCTGTCCAGTCTGTGGCAGGTGCAGAGGAGGTGATGTCAGTGAAACAGTCCTGTCCCGTCTGTGGTAGGTGCAGAGGAGGTGATGTCAGTGAAACAGTCCTGTCCCGTCTGTGGCAGGTGCAGAGGAGGTGATGTCAGTGAAACAGTCCTGTCCCGTCTGTGGCAGGTGCAGAGGAGGTGATGTCAGTGAAACAGTCCTGTCCAGTCTGTGGCTGGTGCAGAGGAGGTGATGTCAGTGAAACAGTCCTGTCCAGTCTGTGGCAGGTGCAGAGGAGGTGATGTCAGTGAAACAGTCCTGTCCAGTCTGTGGTAGGTGCAGAGGAGGTGATGTCAGTGAAACAGTCCTGTCCCGTCTGTGGTAGGTGCAGAGGAGGTGATGTCAGTGAAACAGTCCTGTCCCGTCTGTGGCTGGTGCAGAGGAGGTGATGTCAGTGAAACAGTCCTGTCCAGTCTGTGGTAGGTGCAGAGGAGGTGATGTCAGTGAAACAGTCCTGTCCAGTCTGTGGCAGGTGCAGAGGAGGTGATGTCAGTGAAACAGTCCTGTCCCGTCTGTGGCAGGTGCAGAGGAGGTGATGTCAGTGAAACAGTCCTGTCCAGTCTGTGGCTGGTGCAGAGGAGGTGATGTCAGTGAAACAGTCCTGTCCAGTCTGTGGCTGGTGCAGAGGAGGTGATGTCAGTGAAACAGTCCTGTCCAGTCTGTGGCTGGTGCAGAGGAGGTGATGTCAGTGAAACAGTCCTGTCCCGTCTGTGGCAGGTGCAGAGGAGGTGATGTCAGTGAAACAGTCCTGTCCAGTCTGTGGCTGGTGCAGAGGAGGTGATGTCAGTGAAACAGTCCTGTCCCGTCTGTGGCAGGTGCAGAGGAGGTGATGTCAGTGAAACAGTCCTGTCCCGTCTGTGGTAGGTGCAGAGGAGGTGATGTCAGTGAAACAGTCCTGTCCAGTCTGTGGCTGGTGCAGAGGAGGTGATGTCAGTGAAACAGTCCTGTCCAGTCTGTGGCAGGTGCAGAGGAGGTGATGTCAGTGAAACAGTCCTGTCCAGTCTGTGGCTGGTGCAGAGGAGGTGATGTCAGTGAAACAGTCCTGTCCAGTCTGTGGCAGGTGCAGAGGAGGTGATGTCAGTGAAACAGTCCTGTCCAGTCTGTGGCTGGTGCAGAGGAGGTGATGTCAGTGAAACAGTCCTGTCCAGTCTGTGGCAGGTGCAGAGGAGGTGATGTCAGTGAAACAGTCCTGTCCAGTCTGTGGCAGGTGCAGAGGAGGTGATGTCAGTGAAACAGTCCTGTCCAGTCTGTGGCAGGTGCAGAGGAGGTGATGTCAGTGAAACAGTCCTGTCCAGTCTGTGGCAGGTGCAGAGGAGGTGATGTCAGTGAAACAGTCCTGTCCAGTCTGTGGCTGGTGCAGAGGAGGTGATGTCAGTGAAACAGTCCTGTCCAGTCTGTGGCTGGTGCAGAGGAGGTGATGTCAGTGAAACAGTCCTGTCCAGTCTGTGGCAGGTGCAGAGGAGGTGATGTCAGTGAAACAGTCCTGTCCAGTCTGTGGCTGGTGCAGAGGAGGTGATGTCAGTGAAACAGTCCTGTCCAGTCTGTGGCAGGTGCAGAGGAGGTGATGTCAGTGAAACAGTCCTGTCCAGTCTGTGGCAGGTGCAGAGGAGGTGATGTCAGTGAAACAGTCCTGTCCAGTCTGTGGCAGGTGCAGAGGAGGTGATGTCAGTGAAACAGTCCTGTCCAGTCTGTGGCAGGTGCAGAGGAGGTGATGTCAGTGAAACAGTCCTGTCCAGTCTGTGGCTGGTGCAGAGGAGGTGATGTCAGTGAAACAGTCCTGTCCAGTCTGTGGCAGGTGCAGAGGAGGTGATGTCAGTGAAACAGTCCTGTCCAGTCTGTGGCAGGTGCAGAGGAGGTGATGTCAGTGAAACAGTCCTGTCCAGTCTGTGGCAGGTGCAGAGGAGGTGATGTCAGTGAAACAGTCCTGTCCAGTCTGTGGCAGGTGCAGAGGAGGTGATGTCAGTGAAACAGTCCTGTCCCGTCTGTGGCAGGTGCAGAGGAGGTGATGTCAGTGAAACAGTCCTGTCCAGTCTGTGGCAGGTGCAGAGGAGGTGATGTCAGTGAAACAGTCCTGTCCAGTCTGTGGCTGGTGCAGAGGAGGTGATGTCAGTGAAACAGTCCTGTCCAGTGTTGTATATTTTAATATTTGACCATTTGAACATCATAGCCAGAAAGACCTCTGTGCACTCAGGAAAAACCCCAAGGACACAGGATAATCAGACATGAGTCATAAAGATAAAATGCTGTTTAAACAGGGCGAATTATTAACTTTAAATAATAAACATTTTGACGAGGACAAGAGTTCAGAACCTGAATCTTGAGGCAGACTGGGAGATTCACCAACTGCATTCTGACGCCTCCCAGTGGATAGGGGACGTCAGCACACCCGGAAACTCCACCCCTTGGACGCATAAGGATGACGTCATCGGAAGTCTCCCTCATGAGCCCCTGTGTGTGTTTTTTGAGGTCAGACAGGACAGGGCACGGACAGGGGAAGAGCAGGCCTAGAATAGGAGCACTTTTGTTGAACATTCTGTATCTGATTGTAAAGATAATTAAATGCAGATGTTAAACGTGAAGATCTCTTGTCTCGCTCTTGCATCGACTTTGGATACGTCAGTCAAAGGGAATTATTGACTTCACCAGTCTGTGGCAGGTGCAGAGGAGGTGATGTCAGTGAAACAGTCCTGTCCAGTCTGTGGCAGGTGCAGAGGAGGTGATGTCAGTGAAACAGTCCTGTCCAGTCTGTGGCAGGTGCAGAGGAGGTGATGTCAGTGAAACAGTCCTGTCCCGTCTGTGGCAGGTGCAGAGGAGGTGATGTCAGTGAAACAGTCCTGTCCCGTCTGTGGCAGGTGCAGAGGAGGTGATGTCAGTGAAACAGTCCTGTCCCGTCTGTGGCAGGTGCAGAGGAGGTGATGTCAGTGAAACAGTCCTGTCCAGTCTGTGGCTGGTGCAGAGGAGGTGATGTCAGTGAAACAGTCCTGTCCCGTCTGTGGCAGGTGCAGAGGAGGTGATGTCAGTGAAACAGTCCTGTCCAGTCTGTGGCAGGTGCAGAGGAGGTGATGTCAGTGAAACAGTCCTGTCCAGTCTGTGGCTGGTGCAGAGGAGGTGATGTCAGTGAAACAGTCCTGTCCAGTCTGTGGCTGGTGCAGAGGAGGTGATGTCAGTGAAACAGTCCTGTCCAGTCTGTGGCTGGTGCAGAGGAGGTGATGTCAGTGAAACAGTCCTGTCCAGTCTGTGGCTGGTGCAGAGGAGGTGATGTCAGTGAAACAGTCCTGTCCCGTCTGTGGCAGGTGCAGAGGAGGTGATGTCAGTGAAACAGTCCTGTCCAGTCTGTGGCAGGTGCAGAGGAGGTGATGTCAGTGAAACAGTCCTGTCCAGTCTGTGGCTGGTGCAGAGGAGGTGATGTCAGTGAAACAGTCCTGTCCAGTCTGTGGCTGGTGCAGAGGAGGTGATGTCAGTGAAACAGTCCTGTCCAGTCTGTGGCAGGTGCAGAGGAGGTGATGTCAGTGAAACAGTCCTGTCCAGTCTGTGGCTGGTGCAGAGGAGGTGATGTCAGTGAAACAGTCCTGTCCCGTCTGTGGCAGGTGCAGAGGAGGTGATGTCAGTGAAACAGTCCTGTCCCGTCTGTGGCTGGTGCAGAGGAGGTGATGTCAGTGAAACAGTCCTGTCCAGTCTGTGGCAGGTGCAGAGGAGGTGATGTCAGTGAAACAGTCCTGTCCCGTCTGTGGCTGGTGCAGAGGAGGTGATGTCAGTGAAACAGTCCTGTCCAGTCTGTGGCAGGTGCAGAGGAGGTGATGTCAGTGAAACAGTCCTGTCCAGTCTGTGGCAGGTGCAGAGGAGGTGATGTCAGTGAAACAGTCCTGTCCAGTCTGTGGCTGGTGCAGAGGAGGTGATGTCAGTGAAACAGTCCTGTCCAGTCTGTGGCTGGTGCAGAGGAGGTGATGTCAGTGAAACAGTCCTGTCCAGTCTGTGGCAGGTGCAGAGGAGGTGATGTCAGTGAAACAGTCCTGTCCAGTCTGTGGCTGGTGCAGAGGAGGTGATGTCAGTGAAACAGTCCTGTCCAGTCTGTGGCTGGTGCAGAGGAGGTGATGTCAGTGAAACAGTCCTGTCCAGTCTGTGGCTGGTGCAGAGGAGGTGATGTCAGTGAAACAGTCCTGTCCCGTCTGTGGCAGGTGCAGAGGAGGTGATGTCAGTGAAACAGTCCTGTCCCGTCTGTGGCAGGTGCAGAGGAGGTGATGTCAGTGAAACAGTCCTGTCCCGTCTGTGGCTGGTGCAGAGGAGGTGATGTCAGTGAAACAGTCCTGTCCAGTCTGTGGCTGGTGCAGAGGAGGTGATGTCAGTGAAACAGTCCTGTCCAGTCTGTGGCAGGTGCAGAGGAGGTGATGTCAGTGAAACAGTCCTGTCCCGTCTGTGGCAGGTGCAGAGGAGGTGATGTCAGTGAAACAGTCCTGTCCCGTCTGTGGCAGGTGCAGAGGAGGTGATGTCAGTGAAACAGTCCATGTCCAGTCTGTGGCAGGTGCAGAGGAGGTGATGTCAGTGAAACAGTCCTGTCCAGTCTGTGGCAGGTGCAGAGGAGGTGATGTCAGTGAAACAGTCCTGTCCAGTCTGTGGCAGGTGCAGAGGAGGTGATGTCAGTGAAACAGTCCTGTCCAGTCTGTGGCTGGTGCAGAGGAGGTGATGTCAGTGAAACAGTCCTGTCCCGTCTGTGGCAGGTGCAGAGGAGGTGATGTCAGTGAAACAGTCCTTTCTTCAGACGTCTGTGATAATCTCGCCTTGATCTCGATCCACAGCAGCGTCTCAACACAAACCAGCGCTCTCCTTTCATTCAGACTCAGATTCTGCCAAAACCAAAACAAAACCGAGTGTAGCTGCAGCGGCGCTTCTGGTTCCTTTTATCTCTGCGTCGGATCAGATTTGGCGCTGGTCCAATAAAAGCAGTGGTTCTGTTTTGGTGAAGCTGAATCTCGCTGTGGTCAAGTCACTAATGAGCAGACCTTTATTATGTTTTTACATTTGCTTTAGCTGCGCAAAGGACGGATCACAGTCTGAGGTTTTTAGGATTTAAATAAGGCTCTCTGGTCTCTGAACTCTCTGGTCTCTCTCTCTGGTCTCTCTCTCTGGTCTCTCTCTCTGGTCTCTCTCTGGGTCTCTCTCTGGTCTCTCTCTCTGGTCTCTCTCTGGTCTCTCTCTGGTCTCTCTCTGGTCTCTCTCTCTGGTCTCTCTCTGGTCTCTCTCTGGTCTCTCTCTCTGGTCTCTCTCTGGTCTCTCTCTGGTCTCTCTGGTCTCCCTCTGGTCTCTCTCTGGTCTCTCTCTGGTCTCTCTCTCTGGTCTCTCTCTGGTCTCTCTCTGGTCACTCTCTGGTGTCTCTCTCTGGTCTCTCTCTCTGGTCTCTCTCTGGTCTCTCTCTGGTCTCTCTCTCTGGTCTCTCTCTCTGGTCTCTCTCTCTGGTCTCTCTCTCTGGTCTCTCTCTCTGGTCTCTCTCTCTGGTCTCTCTCTCTGGTCTCTCTCTCTGGTCTCTCTCTCTGGTCTCTCTCTCTGGTCTCTCTCTGGTCTCTCTCTGGTCTCTCTCTGGTCTCTCTCTCTGGTCTCTCTCTGGTCTCTCTCTGGTCTCTCTCTGGTCTCTCTCTGGTCTCTCTCTGGTCTCTCTCTGGGCTCTCTCTGGGCTCTCTCTGGTCTCTCTCTGGTCTCTCTCTGGTCTCTCTCTGGTCTCCCTCTGGTCTCCCTCTGGTCTCCCACACACCAGCAGAAAGGCCCCTGGAATAACAGTCGCCCTAAAGTAAATGTAATCTTGTGCCTTTGTAAACACGCTGTCTCACTAATGGCCCAGGAACAAATGAGGACCTGATGTGGGACACACACACACACACACATACACACACACACACAGACACACACACACATACACACACACAGACACACACACACACATACACACACAGACACACACACACGCAAAGAGACACACACAAGTTTCTGTGTGTGTGTTTGTGTGAGACGTGTTCTGCTTGTATCACTAGTTTTCACATCATGTATTTTTGAAGAGAGAGAGAGAGACAAGAAAGAGGGACCAGAGAGAGAGACCAGAGAGAGAAACCAGAGAGAGACCAGAGAGAGACCAGAGAGAGACCAGAGAGAGAGACCAGAGAGAGACCAGAGAGAGAGCAGAGAGAGACCAGAGAGAGAGACCAGAGAGAGACCAGAGAGACCAGAGAGAGAGACCAGAGAGAGACCAGAGAGACCAGAGAGAGAGACCAGAGAGAGAGACAAGAAAGAGGGACCAGAGAGAGAGACCAGAGAGAGAAACCAGAGAGAGACCAGAGAGAGACCAGAGAGAGACCAGAGAGAGAGACCAGAGAGAGACCAGAGAGAGAGCAGAGAGAGACCAGAGAGAGAGACCAGAGAGAGACCAGAGAGACCAGAGAGAGAGACCAGAGAGATACCAGAGAGAGACCAGAGAGAGAGAGAGAGACCAGAGAGAGACCAGAGAGAGAGACCAGAGAGAGACCAGAGAGAGACCAGAGAGAGACCAGAGAGAGAACAGAGAGAGAACAGAGAGAGACCAGAGAGAGAGACCAGAGAGAGAGACCAGAGAGAGACCAGAGAGAGAACAGAGAGACCAGAGAAAGACCAGAGAAAGACCAGAGAGAGACCAGAGAGAGACCAGAGAGAGAACAGAGAGACCAGAGAAAGACCAGAGAAAGACCAGAGAAAGACCAGAGAGAGACCAGAGAGCGACCAGAGAAAGACCAGAGAAAGACCAGAGAGAGACCAGAGAGCGACCAGAGAGAGATCAGAGAGAGACAACGACAAACAAACAAATAAATAAATGTGACCTCATGCAGAGGGGCCGAGCTCAGAGTGATACGGAGGGACTGGAGAGGGCCCACACAGAGGGTCTTTGTGGTGGGACAGGCCCGAGAGAGACCCCTGCACCCACAGATTTACACGTAAAGATGGAGCAGTTCAAGCTGGAGCCGCGCAGCACAGACCCCCGTCAGACCCGTCACTCTGACCCCCTGACCCCTGACCCCCGTCACTCTGACCCCCGTCACTCTGACCTCCGTCACTCTGACCCCCGTCACTCTGACCCCCGTCACTCTGACCCCCGTCACTCTGACCCCCGTCACTCTGACCCCCGTCACTCTGACCCCCGTCACTCTGACCCCTGACCCCCGTCACTCTGACCTCCGTCACTCTGACCTCCGTCACTCTGACCTCCGTCACTCTGACCTCCGTCACTCTGACCCCCGTCACTCTGACCCCCGTCACTCTGACCTCCGTCACTCTGACCCCCGTCACTCTGACCCCCGTCACTCTGACCCCCGTCACTCTGACCCCCGGCCCCTCTGACCCCCGTCACTCTGACCCCCGTCACTCTGACCCCCGGCCCCTCTCTGCGTCTGTCCGCTCCCGGTAATAAAGCCCTAATGACGCCTTCTACTTTCTCTGGAGACGTATAACTTTCTAAGCCTTAAACATGTAATGTGTGTATGCATTTGTGTATGAATGTGTGTATGAAAGTGTGTATTAAAGTGTGTATTAAAGTGTGTATTAAAGTGTGTATTAATGTGTGTATTAATGTGTGTATACATTTGTGTATGAATGTGTGTATGAATGTGTGTATGAATGTGTGCATGAATGTGTGTATGAATGTGTGTATGAATGTGTGTATGAATGTGTATTAATGTGTGTATTAATGTGTGTATTAATGTGTGTATGAATGTGTGCATGAATGTGTGCATGAATGTGTGTATTATTGTGTGTATGAATGTGTGTATTAAAGTGTGTATTAATGTGTGTATGAATGTGTGTATGAATGTGTGTATTAAAGTGTGTATACATGTGTGTATGAATGTGTGTATACATGTGTGTATGAATGTGTGTATACATTTGTGTATGAATGTGTGTATACATGTGTGTATGAATGTTTGTATACATTTGTGTATGAATGTGTGTATACATGTGTGTATGAATGTGTGTATGAATGTGTGTATACATGTGTGTATGAATGTGTGTATACATGTGTGTATGAATGTGTGTATGAATGTGTGTATACATGTGTGTATGAATGTGTGTATGAATGTGTGCATACATGTGTGTATGAATGTGTGTATACATGTGTGTATACATGTGTATATGAATGTGTGTATGAATGTGTGTATACATGTGTGTATGAATGTGTGTATACGTGTGTATGAATGTGTGTATGAATGTGTGTATGAATGTGTGTATGAATGTGTGCATTAATATGTGCATTAATGTGTGTATGAATGTGTGTATGAATGTGTGTATGAATGTGTATTCATGTGTGTATTAATGTTTGTATTAAAGTCTGTATTAAAGTGTGTATTAATGTGTGTATGAATGTGTGTATGAATGTGTGTATGAATGTGTGCATTAATGTGTGCATTAATATGTGCATTAATGTATGCATGAATGTGTGTATGAATGTGTGTATGAATGTGTATGAATGTGTGCATTAATGTGTGTATGAATGTGTGTATGAATGTGTATTAATGTGTGTATTAATGTGTGTATTAAAGTGTGTATTAATGTGTGCATGAATGTGTGCATGAATGTGTGCATGAATGTGTGTATGAATGTGTATTAATGTGTGTATGAATGTGTGTATGAATGTGTGTATTAATGTGTATTAATGTGTGTATAAATGTGTGTATTAAAGTGTGTATTAATGTGTGTATGAAAGTGTGTATTAAAGTGTGTATTAATGTGTGTATTAATGTGTGTATGAATGTGTATTAATGTGTGTATTAATGTGTGTATGAATGTGTGTATTAAAGTGTGTATTAATGTGTGTATGAAAGTGTGTATTAAAGTGTGTATTAATGTGTGTATTAATGTGTGTATGAATGTGTGTATACATGTGTGTATGAATGTGTGTATGAATGTGTGTATACATGTGTGTATGAATGTGTGTATGAATGTGTGTATACATTTGTGTATGAATGTGTGTATACATTTGTGTATGAATGTGTGTATACATTTGTGTATGAATGTGTGTATTAATGTGTGTATGAATGTGTGTATTAAAGTGTGTATTAATGTGTGTATGAAAGTGTGTATTAAAGTGTGTATTAAAGTGTGTATTAATGTGTGTATTAATGTGTGTATGAATGTGTGTATTAAAGTGTGTATACATTTGTGTATGAATGTGTGTATACATTTGTGTATGAATGTGTGTATGAATGTGTGCATACATGTGTGTATGAATGTGTGTATACATGTGTGTATGAATGTGTGTATACATGTGTGTATACATGTGTATATGAATGTGTGTATACATGTGTGTATGAATGTGTGTATACGTGTGTATGAATGTGTGTATGAATGTGTGTATACATGTGTGTATACATGTGTGTATGAATGTGTGTATGAATGTGTGTATGAATGTGTGTATGAATGTGTGCATGAATGTGTGTATGAATGTGTGTATACATTTGTGTATGAATGTGTGTATGAATGTGTGTATGAATGTGTGCATGAATGTGTGTATGAATGTGTGTATGAATGTGTGCATTAATATGTGCATTAATGTGTGTATGAATGTGTGTATGAATGTGTGTATGAATGTGTATTCATGTGTGTATTAATGTTTGTATTAAAGTCTGTATTAAAGTGTGTATTAATGTGTGTATGAATGTGTGTATGAATGTGTGTATGAATGTGTGTATGAATGTGTGTATTAATGTGTGTATTAAAGTGTGTATTAATGTGTGTATGAATGTGTGCATGAATGTGTGCATGAATGTGTGTATGAATGTGTGTATGAATGTGTATGAATGTGTGTATTAATGTGTGTATGAATGTGTGTATGAATGTGTGTATTAATGTGTGTATGAATGTGTGTATTAAAGTGTGTATTAATGTGTGTATGAAAGTGTGTATTAAAGTGTGTATTAAAGTGTGTATGAATGTGTGTATTAATGTGTGTATGAATGTGTATTAATGTGTGTATGAATGTGTGTATGAATGTGTGTATTAAAGTGTGTATTAATGTGTGTATGAAAGTGTGTATTAAAGTGTGTATTAATGTGTGTATTAATGTGTGTATGAATGTGTGTATTAAAGTGTGTATACATGTGTGTATGAATGTGTGTATGAATGTGTGTATACATGTGTGTATGAATGTGTGTATGAATGTGTGTATACATGTGTGTATGAATGTTTGTATACATGTGTGTATGAATGTGTGTATACATGTGTGTATACATGTGTATATGAATGTGTGTATGAATGTGTATATACATGTGTGTATGAATGTGTGTATACGTGTGTATGAATGTGTGTATGAATGTGTGTATACATGTGTGTATACATGTGTGTATGAATGTGTGTATGAATGTGTGTATGAATGTGTGCATTAATGTGTGCATGAATGTGTGCATGAATGTGTGCATGAATGTGTGTATGAATGTGTGTATGAATGTGTGTATGAATGTGTGTATGAATGTGTGTATGAATGTGTGTATGAATGTGTGTATGAATGTGTGCATGAATGTGTGTATGAATGTGTGTATACATTTGTGTATGAATGTGTGCATGAAGGGCGACAGTAGCTCAGTTGGTAGAGCATTGGCCTTAAGGCCAGAAGGTCGTGGGTTCAATTCCCACCTCTGCACCTTCTCCATCGACTCCCACTGATGACTGCTGCCGTTGTGTCCTTGGGCAAGACACTTAACCCCACTTTGCCCAAAGCCCCCACTGAAAGATCAAGGCTATGCTCACACTCAGAGAGCAGCCGTCCTCCTGTGGACTCACCACCTGCAGAGGGTCAGTGAGGGGCTGGTGCTATGAGACTTGGGGGGCATCTCTGACTGCCACCCCCTGACCCAGAAATGGATTAAAGGGTAGAAAATGGATGGATGGATGTGTGCATGAATGTGTGTATGAATGTGTGCATGAATGTGTGCATGAATGTGTGCATGAATGTGTGCATGAATGTGTGTATGAATGTGTGTATGAATGTGTGTATGAATGTGTGTATGAATGTGTGTATGAATGTGTGTATGAATGTGTATTCATGTGTGTATGAATGTGTGTATGAATGTGTGTATGAATGTGTGTATGAAAGTGTGTATGAAAGTGTGTATGAAAGTGTGTATTAATGTGTGTATACATGTGTGTATGAATGTGTGCATACATGTGTGTATTAAAGTGTGTATTAATATGTGCATTATTGTGTGTATGAATGTGTGTATTAAAGTGTGTATTAATGTGTGTATTAAAGTGTGTATACATGTGTGTATGAATGTGTGTATGAATGTGTGCATACATGTGTGTATGAATGTGTGTATACATGTGTGTATGAATGTGTGTATGAATGTGTGTATGAATGTGTGTATACATGTGTGTATACATGTGTGTATGAATGTGTGTATACATGTGTGTATGAATGTGTGTATACATGTGTGTATGAATGTGTGTATACATGTGTGTATGAATATGTGTATGAATTTGTGTATGAATGTGTGTATGAATGTGTGTATGAATGTGTGTATGAATGTGTGTATGAATGTGTGCAGTCCTTTCTCCCTTCTCACTTCTTCATGTTTCTTTCATGTCAAACCTCGAGTGTAACTTTGAATTTGTCCCAAAGTAACAAAGATTCACATCATTTCAATGTTTTAATCTGTGATGTTGTGACACAAACGTTTTTAAAATCGCACTTCGAGTGGTTTAATACAGGTTTGGCAGGAGGAGGAGGTGGAGGAGCAGGAGGAGCAGGAGGAGGAGGCGGAGGAGCAGGAGGAGGAGGCGGAGGAGCAGGGGGAGGAGGTGGAGGAGGAGCAGGAGGAGGAGGAGGCGGAGGAGGAGGCGGAGGAGCAGGAGCAGGAGGAGGAGGAGGTGGAGGAGACAGTAGGAGGAAGGAGGAGGTGGAGGAGACAGTAGGAGGAAGGAGGAGATGGACTGAAGCAGTGACAGGAGTAGAGTGAGTGGTACAATGGCGCCCTCTGCTGGCCACACAGAATTATCAATTAGATATATGTTTTTATATAAATATATCAGATTAATTGTTACACACACAAAGAAGGGCTACACACAAAGACACACACACACACAAAGACACACACAAGGGATAAAGGTTTAAATAACATGTAATTTATTCATACAAAGTGAAACTAACAAAAAGCTTCACAACAAGAGACTAAAGTTTATTGCGGCTTAAGGATGATTTACTTCTTTATAAAAATATTTTTTTTTCCATTTAGAACGAGGGAAAAAGTCCGTTCGTCTGTGTGTGTGTGTGTGTGTGTGTGTGTGTGTGTGTGTGTGGGGGTCTCAGTGGTTCTGCAGCCTGTGTGTGTGTGTGTGTGTGTGGGTCTCAGTGGTTCTGCAGCCTGTGTGTGTGTGTCTCAGTGGTTCTGCAGCCTGTGTGTGTGTGTGTGTGTGGGCCTCAGTGGTTCTGCAGGGCCTGGATTAGTAGGAGGTTGTACTCTGATACCTTCTGAGTCACTCTCTGGGCCACGGGGCTGAAGTCGCTCTCCTGAGACTTGGAGGCGATGACTGAGAAGAGTTAAGGACGCACAATTTCACACACACACACTTTCACACACACCCACCACACATGCACACACACTCTGGGGTCTCACACGGCTGCCTCCGCCACCCGGCAGTGGATGAAGCGGAGGTCAATGGATGTAGGAGTTTTAGCTCTCACATGAAACATTTAGAAGGATACAGTCTTTCATCGTGAAGTTGTTCTGCTCCAGATGCTGCCACTTCTTCTCCAGGTTCCAGAGCTGCCACAGAAACAAGATCAAAGAGAGATCAGAGAGAGATCAGAGACAGATCAAAGACAGATCAGAGACAGATCAAAGACAGATCAGAGACAGATCAGAGACAGATCAGAGACAGATCAAAGACAGATCAGAGACAGATCAGAGACAGATCAGAGACAGATCAGAGACAGATCAGAGACAGATCAGAGACAGATCAAAGAGAGATCAAAGAGAGATCAAAGACAGATCAGAGACAGATCAGAGACAGATCAAAGACAGATCAGAGACAGATCAAAGACAGATCAGAGACAGATCAGAGACAGATCAGAGACAGATCAGAGACAGATCAAAGAGAGATCAAAGAGAGATCAAAGAGAGATCAGAGACAGATCAAAGACAGATCAAAGAGAGATCAGAGACAGATCAAAGAGAGATCACAGACAGACCAGAGACAGATCAGAGACAGACCAGAGACAGATCAGAGACAGACCAGAGACAGATCAGAGACAGATCAAAGACAGATCAAAGACAGATCAGAGACAGATCAAAGACAGATCAAAGACAGATCAAAGAGAGATCAGAGACAGATCAAAGACAGATCAAAGAGAGATCAGAGACAGACCAGAGACAGATCAGAGACAGACCAGAGACAGATCAGAGACAGGCCAGAGACAGATCAGAGACAGACCAGAGACAGATCAAAGAGAGATCAAAGACAGATCAGAGACAGATCAGAGACAGACCAGAGACAGATCAGAGACAGATCAGAGACAGATCAAAGACAGATCAGAGACAGATCAGAGACAGATCAAAGAGAGATCAAAGAGAGATCAAAGAGAGATCAGAGACAGATCAAAGACAGATCAAAGAGAGATCAGAGACAGATCAAAGAGAGATCAGAGACAGACCAGAGACAGATCAGAGACAGACCAGAGACAGATCAGAGACAGACCAGAGACAGATCAGAGACAGATCAAAGACAGATCAAAGACAGATCAGAGACAGATCAAAGACAGATCAAAGAGAGATCAGAGACAGATCAAAGACAGATCAAAGAGAGATCAGAGACAGACCAGAGACAGATCAGAGACAGACCAGAGACAGATCAGAGACAGGCCAGAGACAGATCAGAGACAGACCAGAGACAGATCAAAGAGAGATCAAAGACAGATCAGAGACAGATCAGAGACAGACCAGAGACAGATCAGAGACAGATCAGAGACAGATCAGAGACAGATCAAAGACAGATCAGAGACAGATCAGAGACAGATCAAAGAGAGATCAAAGAGAGATCAAAGAGAGATCAGAGACAGATCAAAGACAGATCAAAGAGAGATCAGAGACAGATCAAAGAGAGATCAGAGACAGACCAGAGACAGATCAGAGACAGACCAGAGACAGATCAGAGACAGACCAGAGACAGATCAGAGACAGATCAAAGACAGATCAAAGACAGATCAGAGACAGATCAAAGACAGATCAAAGAGAGATCAGAGACAGATCAAAGACAGATCCAAGAGAGATCAGAGACAGACCAGAGACAGATCAGAGACAGATCAAAGAGAGATCAAAGACAGATCAGAGACAGACCAGAGACAGATCAGAGACAGATCAGAGACAGACCAGAGACAGATCAGAGACAGACCAGAGACAGACCAGAGACAGACCAGAGACAGATCAGAGACAGATCAGAGACAGACCAGAGACAGATCAGAGACAGATCAGAGACAGATCCAAGAGAGATCAGAGACAGACCAGAGACAGATCAGAGACAGATCAAAGAGAGATCAAAGACAGATCAGAGACAGACCAGAGACAGATCAGAGACAGACCAGAGACAGATCAGAGACAGATCAGAGACAGACCAGAGACAGATCAGAGACAGATCAGAGACAGACCAGAGACAGATCAGAGACAGATCAGAGACAGACCAGAGACAGATCAGAGACAGACCAGAGACAGATCAGAGACAGATCAGAGACAGATCAGAGACAGATCAGAGACAGATCAAAGACAGACCAGAGACAGATCAAAGAGAGATCAAAGACAGATCAGAGACAGATCAGAGACAGACCAGAGACAGATCAGAGACAGATCAGAGACAGATCAGAGACAGATCAAAGACAGATCAGAGACAGATCAGAGACAGATCAGAGACAGATCAGAGACAGATCAGAGACAGATCAGAGACAGATCAGAGACAGATCAGAGACAGATCAGAGACAGATTAAAGAGAGATCAAAGAGAGATCAAAGAGAGATCAGAGACAGATCAAAGACAGATCAAAGAGAGATCAGAGACAGATCAAAGAGAGATCAGAGACAGACCAGAGACAGATCAGAGACAGATCAGAGACAGACCAGAGACAGATCAGAGACAGATCAAAGACAGATCAAAGACAGATCAGAGACAGATCAAAGACAGATCAAAGAGAGATCAGAGACAGATCAAAGACAGATCCAAGAGAGATCAGAGACAGACCAGAGACAGATCAGAGACAGATCAAAGAGAGATCAAAGACAGATCAGAGACAGACCAGAGACAGATCAGAGACAGACCAGAGACAGATCAGAGACAGACCAGAGACAGATCAGAGACAGACCAGAGACAGATCAGAGACAGATCAGAGACAGACCAGAGACAGACCAGAGACAGACCAGAGACAGACCAGAGACAGATCAGAGACAGATCAGAGACAGATCAGAGACAGACCAGAGACAGATCAGAGACAGATCAGAGACAGACCAGAGACAGATCAGAGACAGATCAGAGACAGACCAGAGACAGATCAGAGACAGACCAGAGACAGACCAGAGACAGACCAGAGACAGACCAGAGACAGATCAGAGACAGACCAGAGACAGACCAGAGACAGACCAGAGACAGACCAGAGACAGATCAGAGACAGATCAGAGACAGATCAGAGACAGACCAGAGACAGATCAGAGACAGATCAGAGACAGATCAGAGACAGACCAGAGACAGATCAGAGACAGATCAGAGACAGATCAGAGACAGATCAGAGACAGATCAAAGACAGATCAGAGACAGATCAAAGACAGATCAAAGAGAAACTATCAATCTCAGGCTCGTGTTTGTATCAAAGGTTAGTTTACTATTGTTCTATCCTCTGTGGCTCCAGAAAACAACTTTAACTCTCTGTGTCTGTGTGTGTGTCAGACCTGTGTGTGTGTGTGTGTCTGTGTGTGTCAGACCTGTGTGTGTGTGTGTGTCAGACCTGTGTGTGTCTGTGTGTGTGTGTGTGTGTGTGTGTCAGACCTGTGTGTGTCTGTGTGTGTGTGTCAGACCGGTGTGTGTGTGTGTGTGTCAGACCTGTGTGTGTGTGTATCAGACCTGTGTGTGTGTGTGTGTGTCAGACCTGTGTGTGTGTTGTATCAGACCTGTGTGTGTGTGTGTGTCAGACCTGTGTGTGTGTGTATCAGACCTGTGTGTGTGTGTGTGTCAGACCTGTGTGTGTGTGTATCAGACCTGTGTGTGTGTGTGTGTCAGACCGGTGTGTGTGTGTGTGTGTGTGTCAGACCTGTGTGTGTGTGTGTCAGACCTGTGTGTGTCTGTGTGCGTGTCAGACCTGTGTGTGTGTGTGTGTGTCTGACCTGTGTGTGTCTGTGTGCGTGTCAGACCTGTGTGTGTGTGTGTGTGTCAGACCTGTGTGTGTCTGTGTCAGACCAGTGTGCACTTGTTTTCAACTCCTGGTGGGTTCCATAACCTGAGATTCCACTCACGTCATGGGGACTGGTTTTACGTAGTGGGGCCCGAACACCGGACCCCACTGGTCCAAGCTTAATAATCAATGGGTAATGCTTTTCTAACGGTCCTTATGCAGTCTCTGTAAAAATATGGAAAGGACCCCTGGAGGTTTACTTTCCTGAAAAAAGTGTGTTATGTGTCGGAACCCTGGTGGTGGGTTGCGGGATATCAAGGAGGGGCACACTGGGGCAATTTCAGTCCAGCAGGCTGGAGCCAATCATGGAGCAGCACAACAGAGGAAATCAGGTGTCAGGCTAGAAAAAGGTGCAAGTGTGTGGTTCATTAGGCTGCAGCCAATCACAGAGCAGCACACTGAAGCGCACGCTTACAAACCACTGGTAAGTGCTGACTACAAGTCATGACTTCAAATTGTTATATAGAATGATTACAAATTATTTGTTGTTTGTGCAGCTTAGTCAAGAGTCCCTAATTGATGAAGTCGACTCAGATTCTGACGATTTAACTGTCAAGAAGAAACCTGTAAAAAAGTATGGAAAAAGAAAAATCAAAAACACTTTTCTTCAAGACTCGGAAAGTGACGAACCAAAGGCAAATAAGATTGTTATCATGCAGCTGCAAAAGAAGAAAAATGGGGGGCGAGTTTACAGCAAGAGACACTTCTGCCTCTACTGTTCAATGTCCTGCCACAAAATGTCCCGTCATTTGACTAGAAAACATGGAAATGAAAGTGACGTAGCCAGAGCATTGGCTCTACCTGTGAAATCTAAAGCACGTAAACTTCAGTTTGATTTGATCAGGAATAGTGGAAACCGTGAGCACAATTTTGAGGTTTTAAAGGCCGGCATTGGAACTTTAGTCCCAGCTAAACAGCCAAATTCCCCAGTTAAATCCAGTGAGTTTTTGCACTGTATAGACTGTGGGGCATTGCTTAAGCGAAAGTCACTGTGGAGGCATGTGGCCAGGTGCCGGCTTTCACAGAAAGATGCCCAGGCTAAACCAGGTAGAAGTAGGGTCCAGTCCCTCTGCTCCCTAGCCCAGCCTGTACCGGAGGGCATCAGCAAAAAGCTGTGGTCTTTAATTTCGGCAATGCATCAGGATGAGGTCACGGGTGTTGTCAAAGCAGAAAGGGGGATTCTGAGACTCGGAGAGCACCTGTACTTAAAACACGGGCATGATAAGACTAAGCATGATTACATTAGGCAGAAAATGAGAGAAGTCGGTAGGTTAATTAACGAAGCAAAAACCGCAGGGAAACTGAAAACAATTAAGGATTTCTTTATTCCTTCCAACTTTAACCATGTGATTGATGCAGTCAGGTCTGTGGCTGGATATGATGAGGAAACAAATCAATACAAGACTCCATCCTTGGCCCTCAAACTCGGCCATAGCCTCAGAAAGCTAGCAGATATTCTTGAATGTGACTCAAAAATGGAGCATTGTGTTGATGAACTATTTATTAAAAACCTCCAACGAAGCCGGCTGCTTTTTGAGAAGAGGTGGGACGTCTGTGTTTCTTCTGCTGCCCTACAGACCCTCCGGCAAGCCAAGTGGAACACTCCGGACCTGCTCCATCTGACTGAGGACGTTAGAGCCATGCATGCACATATTGAGGTATGTCGACCTGAATATGTGCAAACCCTAATAAGTGAGCCAACGTCTAAGCATTGGTCTAAACTGGCAGTTTTGACTCTTTGTGAGGTCATCATTTTCAATCGAAGAAGGGAAGGTGAGGTTTCAAAGATGCCACTGACAGCCTTTACCTTAAGAAGTAAGACTGGGATCCATTCTGACATTGCTCTGGGACTGTCCCAACTTGAGAAAAATCTGTGTCAACATTTTCAACGCATTGAAATTAAAGGGAAAAGAAGTCGGAAAGTGCCGGTTCTTTTGACTCCTGAAATGATTGCTTCGATGGAGGTGCTGGTGGAGAACAGAAGGGCCTGTTCCATCTCTGACCATAACCCATACTTCTTTTCCCGCCCGGGCGCAGACACCCACATCAGGGGATCAGACTCCCTACGCCAGGTAGCCAAAGAATGTGGTGCGGTGCATCCAGAGATGCTATCCTCAACCAAACTTAGAAAGCACATAGCTACTATGTCTACAGTTCTCAATATGAAAGAGAATGAGATGGACATACTTGCCAACTTCCTCGGCCATGACATTCGCATCCACAGGCAATATTACAGACTACCAGAGGGGACACTGGAGCTGGCCAAAATCAGCAAAGTGTTGATGGCCATGGAGCAGGGAAGAGTGACGGAATTCGAAGGAAAGAGCCTCGACCAGATACAAATTGAGCCTGAAGGTAATTCTTGATATTATTAAAATATGTATGATTTTTTTCCCCTAAAGGCCACTTGTATTTTTATTTTCTGTGCGACAGGGAGAGCAGTAGAGATCCTCTCACAAACGGACGGGCTAAAAGAAACTTCAAGCGGAGAACCTTCAACCATTCATCCAGATGCACCCCATGGTAGTGGCAGTGCCCCTTCTGGTAAGTGTACCAGGTGGGGGATTACAGCCAGGCTGCTTGGTCCTCACCCTGGGAGTGTATATTGCTAATATATTTTTTATTTCTCTCCCTAGAACGTGTAAGAAAGCCATGGTCTGCATCTGAGGTGAAGGCTGTGGAGAAGACCATGACACCTTTCATACAGACTGGAAAGGTCCCTGGGAAGTCTCACTGCCTGGCCTGCATTAATGCCTCACCAGATGACCTTAGACATCGGACATGGAGTGGCATTAAATTCTATGTCAAAAATAGAATCACTGCAATTCGAAAACAAAATCTAAAATAAAATTCCTTTAAAATAGTTGTTTGGTTTCTATTGACTGTTTTGTATTACTTAAAGTCTTGGTAAAAAAAGATTATGTCTATGGGTCCCATTCTGAACGGCCCTGTCAAAGGGACCCACCAGGTAACAAAAACGTGTATGTGTGGGTGTGTATGTCAGACCTGTGTGTGTCTGTGTGTGTGTCAGACCAGTGTGTGCGTGTGTCTGTGTGTGTGTCAGACCTGTGTGTGTGTGTGTGTGTCAGACCTGTGTGTGTGTGTGTCAGACCTGTGTGTGTGCGTGTGTGTCAGACCTGTGTGTGTGTGTGTGTCAGACCTGTGTGTGTGTCTCGTTCTCCTCCAGGTTCTTCTTCAGATTTTCATATTTGTTTTTCATGTCGTTCAGCAGTTCTTTGAAACTCTCTCTCCTCTGACTCAGAGACACTCGCTGCTCCTCCAGGCTCTGCAACACACAGCACCTCCTCATCACCTCCTCCTGTGGATCTACCACCTCCTCTTCAGTTCCTCCAGGTCTCTGTGCGTGTGTGTGTGTGTGTGTGTACCCTCTTCTTGGTGTGTGCGTTCCTCTTCAGCTCCTCCAGGTCTCTGTAGGTCTTCAGCTCCGTCTCCATCTGCAGCAGCTGTTGTCTCCGAGTCTCCAGCTCCGACGAGAACTTTCCCTCCAACTGCTGCACCTTCTCCAGGTCCTGCACCAGACGCATGTACTCTACACACACACACACACACACACACACACACGCACACACAACCCTTCAGTGTTAGTATGAAGCCTCCAAGGACCGTCTACAGTGCGGAGGAGGTTCTGACCCGTGTGGAGGCTCTTGGTGGTGCTCTCTGATTGGTTGACCTCGGTCTCTTTACTGAGCAGGACTTCCTGGATGTTCTTGAGCTCGCCAGCCGTCACAAAGTCCACCTGCTGCAGACGGCCCATATTCTACACACACAGGAAACACAACAGTAAGAGAGAGGAGAGAGGAGAGAGAGGAGAGAGAGGAGAGAGAGGAGAGAGAGGAGAGAGAGAGAGAGAGAGAGAGGAGAGAGAGGAGAGAGAGGAGGGAGAGGAGAGGGAGGAGAGAGAGAAGAGAGAAGAGAGGAGAGAG